AAAGCCTAAAAGAAATTTCAGTCAAAACAGGAAATTCCTGTACAGCAAAAGACTCGATGTACTGTTTCCTTTAATGCAAAAAAAAAAAAAAAAAAGGCAGCTGTGTGTAGTTTGTCTCAAAAGGAAGGAGGAGTGTATAATAACCACCTCAGTCTCTATATCCAAAATGACAAGTTTATTTCTGAGACACTGTGTCAAAGCCACATTGCTAAAACTTGCACATATATTCCTATTCATCCAAATCTATTGTTTGGAGGCAACATCAAAAGGAGATACAACTTAAAAGCAGCCGAATAATTCCTGACTATGTGAAAAAGCTGTGACTCGCCTACTGTTTAATGCAACACACTTCAGGAAAATCAGGTCAGGCTTCAGATTGTGATGGATGTTTACAGAGAAGAGGTATTCTTTAAGGTGTGCAGGTGTATACTGTATGTGTCACACTGGAACTTCACTGGGATTGTGATTCAAGGGAAGAAGCTTCCAAAAGTAGATTCTTTTCTTTTTTTCGTTTTGGAGTGCGGGACACTTTATTTGTATATTTTATGCCATTCTGTGAGTGATGAAGCACAAAGAGGTGTTCTCATTTAAAAAAAAAAAAAAAAAAAAGTGCGTGTGGGGGGGGGAGAGTCTCCTCTGCGTAATCCAGTCATTGATCTACTAGGACACCTTTGTGTTTCTTCACTCTTATCAAGAATATTTTCTTTTGCCAAATAAATAAAGGGAAAGGACTCACATTTCACCAGTTAATTATTAATTTCGCATGAAGCAAAGGTTTCGTTGCTTTGGAAACCTGTACTTGAACAGGTCTTGACAGTGATGTACATTATTCACACAGCTTTAACAAACAGCAACTGTCCAGTTCGATCAACATTTTTACTTGCTTTTGTTTGTCCATTTCAGTAACCACATAAAAAAGTAAACGTTAGCAAGAAAATCTAAGTCTTCACCTGAAAATGGGTTTTGTTTTAGAAGTTTGAGATGCTGCAGTTATTTTTTCCCCTCTCTCAGGTAAACAAGCAAATTAATTAATTTTCTAACTCTGATATTAATAGAATGTATGTAAATATCTAAGTTACTGTAATATAATGTGTATCATCACACATTGGCTAATAAAATAAAAGGTTTATTACCAAACCTTAACTCGTGTATTCATGAATTTGTTATTGAACAATTGAGCGAAAACTTAAACCTGCATTTTTATGATGTGGCATTTATGAATTTTTCACTCTGATCAATTTTATGAACAATGGTTTTGAATATTACTCAGTTGTTTCATACTAGTTCATTGTACAAGAAGGTTTTGGGTGGGTTTTTTTTGTTTGTTTTTTAAAGGCCTGATTTTAAAAACGAGTCTAGTGTCAAACTGTGAATCGATTTGTGGTTGCATGTAGATGTGGGCCTCTGTTTTTACAGTAACCAGACATTTCCTTCTGAACAGAACTTAAAAACAAGTTCACCAGAAAATCTGGATTGATGTCACCACATAGAAGTTGTTTTTCCATGTTTCATAAGCTACAGTACCTTATACCTTTTGTGATCCAGGTGCACACTTTCAGCAACTAGTGACCACAAAGGCCGAGTTACATATTTTGGTAAATTGTGGGCTTGAATTCATTGTGCAGTGGAAATGCTCCCAAAATGTTCAGATTGTGTTATGAAAAATGAGACTTTGAGCACTCATATACTTCAAAGGTTTTTACTGTGATTGTATTAGAAACATGGTTTGTTAGAAATGTCTGCAAAGTATAGTCATTGTTTTACATTCAAGTTTATTACAAGGGGCACATCCATTAAAAACACCACACTGAGTATTTAATTCAGTAAATTAGTAAAAGTGGATGTCTTGTCAAATCTAAAATAAAACTTGCTATAAAGGTGAGAACGTTTTAGCCGAGTTATGCTTTTACATTTTGGCAATTCTAAAAAAAACAAAACAACTTTAACAGCCCAATTAATTTAAACATTTTTAGCTTTCATCATTTACTTTCACAGGTTCACAACCGCTGAAGATGAACAGTTTAAATAAAGACCTGGAATACAAAGAAGAACCAAGGAGATCCCTGCTGGTAGCTGGAGTCAAAGAGTGCTTCAAGTGCTTGGGTTGAACTCAAGTACTGCACCTCAGGCAGATCGAAGTTCTGTGAGCACCACAGATGGCACACTTCCTGTGGTCATGAGCATGCCCTGATGCCATATCTGCATCCCTCAGGATATTAGTCATTGTCTCTGCAGTGATATGACCTTCTGTAAATAAAACCATAGCATGCATAAACAGTGGTGGTGACCATAAAACCATTGTCCTGATGTTATCTTAGTTTCCCCTCGGTGCAGCTATTCATTAACCAGTACCCTTTTCCTCTCCCAGCTCCTGCAATCGTCCATTGTGGCTGCAGGTGAGAAGATGAAATGCATCCCACCAGCGCTTACTTCATTCATAGGCCCTCATTTGTGGATGTTCCCATCTTAATTGTGATGCTACACTGCTTTGAGATGTTGCGATATCCACCTATAGAAGAGGAAAATGTGAATAGCCATCAACCAAGTAGCACAGTGTTTTTGTTCTAAAACTCATGATGATACACTGTGTTCATGGGGTTCTCATTTAGTTCTGCACCACTTCAGCTACATTGAACAAATGAATGAGTTTATTGCCATTGTATGTCCAATGTAATTACAATGTCTCTCCTTTAAGAACTGCAAACAACCATTTACATTTGCATATTTACACAATTTAGACACTGAGAGTAAGGTTGTACTGAAGGCATTAACTTAGCCAAAAAGGTTTAGTAAACTCAGAAGAACAAATAAATACATTTTTAAAAAGATCCATCCCTTACATGTACTGTAAGCGGGACAGCCAGCGCTCTCTTGTGGATAAATGCCCAAGTGCTATATGACATGTTTCATTTATTCTTTGTCCAATTACTTTTGATCTTTCACACTACAAAATGGCTACATCTTGCGCAAAAACTCTGTCAGTCTTTCAATTTAATTTGCTTATTCGGGTGAACAGTCCAGCTATTGTGTTGCAATACCAGCTGAATTCCTGGTGAGCTGATGGAATTTAGAAACAAGGTCTATGGAAATAGTTTCCCTTTGTGACAGTTTATCAACATTACATGTTGGTGCAGCTAAATCTGCTCTGGATTTGCATTTCTGGTTTCAGGTTTCAGTCTTTCTGTGCTTGAATGATGCAGGATATGCTTTTTCATAGTGAAGCTTTTGTTATAGTGAAAATACAGGATGTACCTCTACACTAACTTACTCTGTAAACATTTAATCAACTCAAGTTTTTGGACACAGTGCAAGTTGTGGTAAAAGGATATATGGCAACCTATTTGATCTTTAACTGTTTTTCTTTTTTTCATTTGACGACTTTTAGAGTCTGTAAGAGGTCAAGAATAGTAAAAAATACAATTATTGATGAAGGATTGAATTATTTAAACTTCTTTTGTGATCTGTTGATTATATCATATGAACAAAGCTCTTCTACTCTGTGCTACTTTGAATTGACTTTAAATTGAAACAGTTCATTATCAATACTTTTGTGTCATCTCACAGCTTTTTAGGTTTTTATCATCCTTTGAACTGGTCTCTAACTTCTCCACTGGGAACTAACATTCTGTCGTATTATCACACATATTTACACAAAAGCTGCCTGTGTTTCAGTTTCCGTACCTTCAATCATAGGTAAGTAACTTTTAATCCCAGCAAACACAAAGCTTGTCATTCAGAGCTGTGAGTGTAAACATGCTGTCCCATTATTTATGCAGAGATAGAATTATCCATAATATTATAATTTGTTAGCAAATTTGATATAACCACTTCTGAGCCCTATATGCTTTAGAAATACTAAGAGCAAAGAAAAGAGTTGGAGAAGCGGTGAAGGGTGAAGGCAACAGTGGTGCCTGTGGTAACCAGAGCACTTGGGTCAGTGACTCCCAATCTGGGTGAGTGGCTCCAGCAGATCCCATGAAATAAATCCGAAATCTCTATCCGGCATAGTGCAGTCCTAGGAACAGCAAAGCTAGGGCACACAAGCACTCAGGCCTTTTAAGACCTAATCATCCAATGGTTACGTTTCCAAAAATATCTTTTGTTGTTTTGCTTTCATTTCAGCAGCTAACGATTCACATCCATCCACAGCTAGTTGTTGGGTAATTGTTTATTTGTTTTCATCTGATTTTTGTATTTTTATGTTTGTTTGTTTTTATTTTAGCTTGACTAAGGTCTCTGTGAAGACTAAGTCCACTTAATAACTCGCAGGGCTTTCAATCACTTTATTTTCCATATCAAGATCTCATGTTTATCTGATATTATCACCTGGGACAAATAAAGGAAAAGTAAAAAGATAAACACCTGGTTGAACTACCTTGGAAAACGAATCTTAAAAGGTCAAGTTTTCAGCATTGTTAACTACACAGATTTTTTACCGACTTGCAGACGTACTTCCTCATTCTTTGCCTATTAGTAAACCTTTAAAAGAACTTGAAACTCATTTCTGCACTGAAATAATATTTGCAGTGATGAAACATAACTTTTTTTTCTTTGCTTTAACTGTTCGCCCACAGTGTTTACTTTTTTGAGTCATGTATTTCATAGTTCTCAGTAATTTCCCATTTACATTCCTCAGGAAACAAAAAACAACCAACTAACACTGTTGTGTACAATTCTTGCTAAAGTCTGTGGTTAAAATAGTGCATTGTTTACAATCCATGTTTTCTCTCACAGGTGTGGACTATTGCCGTCATGTTTTTAAGTAAAAAATTCAAAAGGCTGCCTCACTTGTTTACAGTTAACCTTTTCTTTGCACAGGTAAGCATGGTATTGCATTCATGAAAAACTAATAGCACCATTAATGTCTAATATGTCTAAGGATTAAGTAAATCATATAAATCATATCTATATGAAGGAACTCACCTGTGGGCATTCAAAAATGACCAAGTGCCTGTATTTGTTATTTTGTTCTCTGTAGGTTCTGACTTGCATTGGGATGATCTTGTGGAACTTCGTAGTGAAGGAAAATAACTTCATTGGTCAGGTCCTGACTTTCACCTTATTATGTACCTCACTCTACAGCACTTTTATATGGCCAGGTACGCACACTACCATCTACCACAGGAAACCTACATTGAACTATTTCATGTTGGTTCATACTGGTGAGATATATCTGTAGTGTGACTACAGATTTTGAAATTGATGTTTTGTTGTTTTAAGGTTTGATAGCACTCTCACTTGTGCTCTTGAAGTCTGAGGATCTGAAAGTTTCACCGGGCATGTTGGTCATTGCGGGCTGGGGGTAAGAGGAATGTGCACAGACTGGAAAACACATCACTTTGGTTTAGACTGACATTCACGATGCAATCAACAATGTAAATGACCTAATAAATCATAATATAATGTGATTTTGCATGATACCAACTCACTTAAAATTAAATAGTAAAAAAATGTATATCTGCAACCAAGTGTCATGCACGTTGTTCAGGGTAATCCCATTGACCTGGTTTTTATATTTTAATACTGTGATTGAATTTGTTGTATCTGTGGTTGCAGGATTCCAGCTTTAATAACTGCAGTTTTGCTCATTTGTGGGGAAAAAATGTTTGGAGTCATTGATGCAGCTTTCTTCTATGGCAGAGCACAGGTAAAAATACCAGGGGAAGTCATTTTCCTGTTTTCTGCCATGAAATTACAGATAATGAAATAAAACCTGTATACAATTTGGATGTTTTCTTTCAGATAATCTGCACCACATTCGTAGTTGCCTTCAGCATATTTCTGGGAGGAGGCTCTCTTGTGTGTCTCAGCAGAGGAAGCTGGGCCCAAAATGTCCAAACTGAAGAGGTGAACTCATTTGACTCTCCAGAAGATCCTTTGATTGAAAATGAACCCGAAAACCAGACCGTGTTTGAGACTGACCCCCCACCAAGAGATCAAGGAAATCGTCAACAGTCAGATTAATGGATACTGAATATCTGAGGTGCTAAATAAAGACCTTATCTACAGGTCATCTACACTTAAGTTCAACACAGTTCAACTTGTCTGTGGCATTCAACTCATTCCCATCAAAAACAATTTCAGTTAAAGTAGAAACGGTCTTCAGTTACCAAAGGACAATATATACATGCACACAGAATCATTCCTCAGAGGAATGACAGTAAGTTTCAGATTTGTTAAAATTCCATATCACCCACAAAATTACTCGCTTGTACAGGCAAAGAAAGGAATGTGAGAAAAGAACAGATTACATGCAGTGCTTTTGTTTTGACTAAATGCGAGAGTCATGGTCATAGTTCCACTGTAAACAACAAACTCTAGTATATGTAAACCAGTTCTGCAAGTAATGAGGAGAAACTATTTGAACCGCTTAATAAAAGACTCCATTATTTGATTGAAACACAAGCATTCGTAATTCAGTTTTTACAAGATCCCTCGTACCACTGACTGAAATGCAGCTCCAAACCCGATACCTCCAACATGTTTTACACATGGTTTGTAGACTGTCACAGTTGTACCCCTCTATCTGTTGCATAATTTGAAGTACCTCAGCCTTTTCTCCGTGTTTAACTTCCTCCAGAATTACTTCTTTGCCAAGTTGTCTTTTAAGCATAGGCACAACTCTGGGTCATTCCTTCCATTTGGTGCTTTTTTTGTGTTTGACCGATTCATAGTAGAGTGTTAGGTCACAAAACATTTCTCTGAAAATGTACAGGGACTAAAAAAGGAGTGGAAAAAGCAACCGATGTCCAAAGAAAAACTTTGAAAGACCTTCTGAAAGCCTGAAAAATGGAGGCTTGAGACATTTTCACAGTAAAAGTCATAGTATATGTGTAATATTGTATAGTATATACTGTCACTGACCTGCATGCTTTTGTATTTTACAAGGGTTTGTATTTATCTATTTGTGTTCTGCTGCTGCCCCCCTCAGGTCAGTGTGAGAGTGGGTGCGAGTCCACAGACTGCCTCCTTGTCCAAGTGGAGGAGCTCCAACAGGTTGCAGACAGACAAGTGGCCTGTCATGTGTCTGCTTCTGACTGTCAGCCTGCTTGCTGTGAGTAAACAACCACCTTTCAGTTCTACAGTAACATGAAGTCAGCCTTCATCCGCCTGCATTATTATATTTAGTGCATCTTGAACCAAATCAGATACAAATGGCTGAGCTGTGTAATTTCCAACTCCTGTCACTGGAAGACTTTAAGAAACACATTCAGAGACCCCATTAGAAAAGTCATGTGTCTGGCTCTATATTTACTGTTACATTGAATTTTATATATTTTTATTACTGTACGAAGAAATCTTAAAATAGTGTATTAGGGACATCTAGATTAAAAAACTGAAAGTACAAGAAAAGATACTAGGTATTGCTGGTAGATGCTTTGGTATACTTTCATGTGTCAGCTGCCATGTAGTTCCTTTTAGTATATTATGAGAAATTACTGATTCTGGGCTTAAATTAAAAGCTTTTTCTTATTGCTGAAGCCAGTTTTAAAACATATAATTTGATCTCACTTATTCACTGCAGGCATACGAGGGAGGGACTCTTTTTGTTTTAATGAATGCCCACTCAGCTGGTTCTACAAGCTGGTTCAGTGAACAGCGTTAGCTACCATTTCTAGTTCAAAGGTCTTCTTACATCCTGTTTTCACAGAATTTGTCCAGCTGCGTGTGGCTGCTCTTTAACCACAATCCTGGTAGACTCTACTTGGAGTTGCTCTTCTTTTGTGCTGTGGTCAACTATGGACAGGTCTGTGTTAGAAATATCCTGTTACCTATTCATGACTGTATACTCACACCCACAGCACTAAAGTCATGCTTCTCTTTTCCTGTTAAACAGGGGCTTCTCTCCTTTGCTCTTTTTGGGCTGGACAAACATTTGATTTTACTGCCAGTTAAGAAGAGGTAAATGGCTTTTATATGAAACTGCCAAATTATTAAGCACATTCAAAAGTTTTTATACAAAGATGCTTTTCTGCATATCTTGGTTGCTCCCTTTCTATCACCTCGAAGTAGTCTGTTCATTCTCCTCTGAACTCTGAGGAGTTTTTACACAGTGTTTTTACAATATATTACGGTGTTCACTGATTTAACTTTGTTCTGTGTTTAGATTATACAGTCTGTGGTATGGAAAACAAGAAGAGCAGCCACAGAGTGATTTATCTGAGGAGATCGGGATGACCTGCACCCAGTTCACCAAATACCACAAGCAGCAGTGTTTTCATGACATTGTTAAAAAGAGAAGGTGAGAGCACATTGTCTTACTGACCGCTGCTCTGGGTAAAGACTGATGATAAACATGGTATTTATAGTGTCTTTCTGTTCTAATGGACACTCAACGCACACAAAAAGCCACATTCACCCAATTATACAAGTACTTTTTAAAATTTCCTAAGCACTTTGTCATGCACACACAGTGGGTTCAGTATTTTGCCCAAGGGTACCTTTACGTGCAGGGATTGAATCACCGCCCTTCCGATTGGTGATCAGCTTGTGCTACCTCCTGTTAATGTCTAGGCAAACCTTTGCTGATGCTCGGTGACTCACAAACCACAATACCTTCAAAACAAAATTATTCCTGATTCAGTCATTTTTCTGTGTGTGGGTTCTGTCTGCTCCTCTGTTTCTTGTGGCTCCTTTTACAGACAACTATCCTTTGGGTGAATTCTTCTTTTCACTTTCAGGTATGGAAAGAAGACTATGGTGGACTGTTTTCTTGGCTGTGAACTTGTTGAGTGGCTTCTGCAGGTTGGTTTAGCTCAGGACCGTGGCGAGGCAGTACTCTACGGGACACGGTTACAAGAGGGTGGTGTGCTCCAGCACATCAAGCAGGAATACAGCTTCCAGGATAGTCCGCTGTATTATTGCTTCATGGCATAAGATGCTTGCATCAAAGAAAAAGGTTTCTTTTAACCTAAAAGAAAATCAAATCAGTTCGAACAGGAAATTCCTGTACAGCAAGAGACTCGATGTACTATTACTAAATTCACCATCGCGGCACAGTGATAGCAACGAGGACCCCTGTCGGCAATGTGAGAAATGTTCAAAGTGCTGCACACTCTCATTCAAAATGTTTGTTGTCTTTACATCCAACATTTCAAGTTCATTTCTGAGACACTGAGTCACGGCTACAATGCTAAAACTTGAACACGAGCCATAAATAAATTATTTTAATCTAAATCCCAAAAAGTTCATTCTCATTATCAAGAAACTGACCTCACAGCCATGTTTGTCACATGTTTGCCAGTGGTGCCAGTGCTAGCTTCAGTCATTATGCAAATGTACTGTTTATGTTGGGGAAACCTGCCGTCAGCAGACACTGAAGAAGTCATTTGTATGAGTGACGAAACGTTTCTCCCACTGAAAACACAACGTCCAGATGACTTGGTATTCAAAGTGTGTCAGTGTATACTGTATGTGTCACACTGGATAAAAGGGGAATTCTAAATTTCAAGGAATGAACCTTTCAAAAGTTTTATGTTTTTGTTTTTACACCATAGATTTGATTTGACTTTATGTTTCATGCCATTCTGTGAGTGATGAAGCACACAGAGGTGTATGTCCAAAAAGTCGCTCCTCTACTTAATCCTTTTCAATCCTAATTTCTACAAAGACACTTTTACATGTTTTGTTAGTTTTTTACTAAAAACCACTCACCAAATGAATAAAGGGGAAAAATGATGTTATTTGATGTTATTTCTTTGGAAACCTTCACTGGATATTGTTTATGAAGTTTTAACCAGAACTATAATTGTTAACATAGCAACTGCTGGCCAGTTTGATTAAAAAATGTCATTTTTCAGTCATCATATTGAAACATAATGTGGTAGCAATATACAATGACAATGTATATCTTCTGAGCGTGATGGGAAAACACTTTTAGGAACAGCTGCAGATCTTCTTTTCTCTCAAGGTAACAAAATATATAAGGTGCATTTTCTGTGGCAAAATTTTGTTTTATTAAACCAAATTTTAATAAAATGCATGCAATTCAAAAATGCATCATCACACTTTGTCTGTATATTCATAACGTGTTTAAAAACAAAAGTTTATTACAAAAGATTTCATTCTTGCATTATGTAATGCATTTGTTATGGAACATTTCTCATCAATGATTCATTAAATAAGAGTCAAGACTTTAATGTCATGGGATTTAAGAACATTACACTCTCTTCAACTTTCTAAGCAATAGTTCTGAACAGTATCCTGTTGTTTTGCAGGTTTATTGCACAAGCATTTTGTACTTGATTAAAACGTAAAAAGCAGAATGCCTTTTGCTAGTGTCAAAGTGTGGAACTACGTTGTGGCTCTCGCCTCATTTTTGGCTGTAAACAGAAAGCTCCCTCTGGATAGAACTTGAAAACAAGTTCACCAGAAAATCTGGGCTCTCAACACCATGTAAAAGATGTTCCTCCATCTCTTTTATCATCTCCTTCTCCAGCTGCCTCATACCTTCTGTGATCTTCCTTCCTCTGTCCTACAGAGAAAGGAAAAAACACAAGTTGCACACGTTCAGAAAAAAGGCCCACACAAGACAAAATAATAATAATTTTACATAAATCGCAGGCTTGAATTGAATTAAACTGCAAAACCTTGTGGGACTCAATGATGGCAGCCACCAGTTCATGTTTGACAAACAACTCGTGCTTGCGGTCAGGCTTGCTCTGGAAGCGGGGTTTCTTCTTCACAGGGTCATCTAGGCCGTAACTCGGGGAAGACGTCTCCTTTAACGGGTGAAGGTTTTTCACGAAAATGAACGGTTTGAATACAGACCTGTTGTTACAAAAGAAGAACCCAGCAGATCATCAGTAGAAATGCATTGGAAGAGTGCTTTAAGCGCTAAAATAACATTAAGTACTATACCTTTCAGGATCTGGAGTTGCTGTAAAATAGTGAACCCCTGGCAGATCAGGATCCGTGGGTATCACAGAGACCATACTTCCTGTGGTCATGAACATGCCTTCCATGTTGATGCCACTATCTTTATCCCTCAGGATATCCATCATTGTCTCCGCTGTGATATGACCTTCAGTAAATAAAAGCACACCAGTGGTGCAGATTATGTAACCTTTGTCCTCCTGTGACCCCAATTTTTCTGAGTGTGTTCATTGACTAACCATTGCTCTTTTCCAACAACTTCTTCCCCTCACAGTATCGGCTCCCAGAGGCTTCTATTCTGGCTGTAGTCATAAAGGAGTAGACCGTGGCAAAGTTGAACTCAGTCTTCCCATCCCACCAGCCCTTACTTTGGGCATACGCCCTCATTTCAGGATGCTCCTTGTCTATCTTAGTGGTGATGCCATACTGGTTTGAGATGTTACGATATCCACCTGTAGAAGAGGAAAACATGCGCAGTCACTAAAATTAAATCTATTTTACTCTAACTTTCCTTTACTGAGGTAAAAAAAAAAAACCCAAACAAAAACAACAACAACCGTCCTTTAAATGTTAGAAAGTATTCTGAATAGGACAGCCAGCACTCTCTGGTGGTCAGAATGTGTAAGTACATCTAGGACAGGTTTTGGTCTTGTTAAATCTCAAACACAGCTCTTTCTTTCCAGATATACTGAAATTAAAAGCTGAGACTTTGCCCTTTAATGTAGTAACCACTATTTTATTCCAAAGGACATAAAATGTGTGTAATTTTTGTATTTGTTCTAATGCCACGTATAGACTAATGTATCTAATCTACTTAAATTATCAGTGTAAATATCCAACTAATGTGCATTTTGTTATGAGGCTCACCTCTTGAGGCCTGCAAAATTTGCAGACTGCAGAGTAGTGAGCGATTCAGTCCTTTTGTGCTTTTTATGCCTTTTAATACCCATAAATGTGCACACACTGAAAATATTTATTCATCTTCTCTTCTGAATTTAACAGCTCCCATCCATTATTCTTTTTACTACTACTTATCACAAACATTATATAAAAGTTACTGGTCTATTTAGGATGTCTACTTTCCCAGAGTATTCCCTGAATTGGCCAAAGAAGTCTTATGTTCAGAGTGAACTTTTTCTTTCCAATTACCTTCGACTCTTTCTGCTGCCCAGTACTTTCCTGACGTTTCCAGGAGCCATGCTTCCTTCCTGTCTGAGATGAGGAAGCTGTTGTGGTAGGTGAAGCTACTTTCATCCTCCATGCACGATCCTCCCTGACCGTACTTCTCCAGCAGCTCAGTGATAACGGTCACTGCGTTCTCAGCTGTATCAGCTCTCTCAAGTCCAAGCCTGTGAAATTGACAAACAAAATTTTAAACGGAGACCATGCCATTACATTTTCTTTTGCACATCAGGATACATTAAGCTAAGTATATAGATACTTTAAAAAGCAGACAACTTCTATACAGGCGGGTTTACCTGACGAGATCCATGCCGAGGAGAGCCTCCTCGCCATCTGCACTCTGTCGGCCCCACACTGCTTCATTTCCAATGCACACTTGATGCTCATTTGCACCCATCTCTGCCCCCCACAGCCATGCTGGTCTGCTCAATACAACTGCATAAGTGTGGGCGACCTGCTCAATCTCTATATATGTGCACTTTTCACAAAAAGAAGAACACACAAGGGCAAAAGGTATTAATGGTTATCAGCTGGGACTCTCAGCAAGGAGTAGCACTGTGGTAGACTGAAGGTTGGAGGGCAATGATATGATCTCTTTATTACCTACCTCAACCTTCTCCCCTGCAGCATAGTCTGTGGCAGGAAAATACACAACCTCCTGGACTTCATCGCAAGGCCTGTCAGAGTTTTTCCCAAAAATGATGCGCTGTCCCTCAGTGGATGGGGGCAGAGCCACAAAGGTGTCACACGAAGATGGGCGCATATTAATCCCAAACTATCTAAAAGAAAGGTCTTAGTTATCCAAGACAGTTTTCACTGGTGCTCAGATTTAGCAGATGTAGTAAACCGTAAACACACAAAGTCACTTGTAAGCCCTGTAATGTTAATATACTGTTGGCGTATAGCGCTGAATAGCACATAAGCAGACTTACCCAGCGTTGTTACCATCAGTTTCTATTCTCGTGCGTTTCTTTCGTCTGTCAAAGTTACAAACGCGGAAACAGTGCAGTCACGTGACCGAGATGAAGTCAGTTTCGTTTTCGTAGTTAAAAGAATTGCGCACAACCGTTGCTGTCAGTTTTATTCTTATGTACGTTTCACTTCACTTTATCAAAAGAGATAAAAACATAAGAAACTAGTTTTCCAGTTTCTCAAGGGGATTAAAAGGTTAACAGAGAGAGAGTTATTGTGTTTAGGCCTGTGAGAATAAAAAGGTTTTAAGTTTTCTTTTGAATTCAGACACTTTTCTTATTGAACTCAGGTCAGCACGCACATGTTTCAGGACCACAGATCTGCACCTGAAGACCCGAGAAGTCTAGTTGGATTAAAAGCACTGAACAAGTCATTGGTCCTAATGTACTGGGTGGCCAAACCATTGAGAGTTTTTCTTAATTAATTATTAATTAGTAATTTAAATAGTATTTTCACATTCCCGTGTAAGGACTATGACTGCTGCTTTCTGAGCAAGATGAAATCATTCTTCTAATGATTCTACAAAAAACAACAACAACAACAAAAACAGCATTGTAGTAATCTAACTTGCTTGATATGAACGCATGGACCAAAGGCAGTTTCAGATAAGAATGTAACTTTTGATGTATTTTTCTAGCGATAGAAATAAATTCTGGTGACCTTACTAATATAATTAGCAAATTTGAGGTCACTGACAAATACGTCGAATGTCAAAGAATAGTACGAAACCCATAATGTATTTTTTATTTGTGTTTTTATACATAAAACTGCACACGCACAACTGCAGAGCTGCCTTTATTTCAGTCTCCATCTTTACAATTGACGGTCAACACTGTGTCACGTGATTTTTGCCATCCCACAGACCAATCAATCTGCGTGCCTGAATACGTCACGTGACACCAATACAAAACCATCTTCGTGACAGCGGTTTTGTTTACATGCCGAGGAAGCTACGCTACTACCTGCGTTAGCTAAACGTTTTTCACTCAGCTAACGCTATTGGCTCGCCACCATGGGGAAGTCGTTTGCTAATTTTATGTGTAAGAAGGATTTTCATCCTGCATCGAAGTCAAATATCAAAAAGGTAACTGCTTGATAACTGTTGACGCTGCTGAAACTACTGAACGCAAGCTTAGCTTCCTAGCTACTGCTACTAGCCTAGCTCGCTAAGTCTCAAAAGCTTACACTATGCTGACTGCCTTATTAGCTGACTGCTAATTGTTGACCTCAGTGAGTAATTTTATTTAGTCTGCTTTATGTGAACCATAAGGTTGGATAAACCAACAAAGTTAGCTGGTAGAGATGTTTTTATAAAACTAGGAAGAGTGAGTGCTTTAGCTTCCCTGCGATCTTTAGCGACAGAGTGAACATTAATACTATGAACTTTTTTAATATAGCTTACAGTCACATGCTGCTCATTTGAAGTCTGGCCAGATGTGACCATTTATTTACTTTTATGTTGCTTCTTTTCATATTTGCTTACTGTTGGATGTACTTTTGACTACTTGATTCAATGTGAGTGTTTGAAAGTTATAGTATTGGCATCCATAGTGTATAGGGTGGGTTTTATTGTGCACCTCTGATGCAGTAGTTTAACAGCCAAAATGGTTACTTTGAGATACTAAAGATACTATCACAGAGGGCAGATTGGTATTTAGTGTTTTATGCTTTTTTTTAAGTGTTTAAAAGCAATCAAAATTGTTGCTGATCCAACGTCTTTAAGCAAACTAACCATTTCGTGATATTAAAAAAATCGTCTTTAGTTTAATATGGATTGAAGAGTTGGTAGTAGGTATATGAATATGATTTGCCTTTAAAACTTTCAATTCAATTCTGTTTTATTTATATAGCGCCACATCACAACAGTGGCCTCAAGGCACTTTATACTGTAAGGTACAGACGCTATAATATTCCAAAGAAAACGCCAACAATCATATGACCCCCAAGAGCAACCACGTTGGTAACAGTGGGAAGTAAAAATTCCCTTTAAACAGGAAGAAATCGCCAGTAGAAGCAGGCTCAGAGAGGCTGCCGTGACCGGTTGGAGGTGAAGGGCAAATTTTATTTTTGCTGCTGTAACTTTGCACTATCCACTTTTTTTTTTTGCCTGTCCCGTTTGGCTCTTTTGCCATCAGAATTGTTGTCTAAAGGCAAAGAAAGATGCCCAATGGATTTACTTTACCAAATTGACCATCCCAGCCTTGCCGTAATGGTCCATTTGATTCACCTTTTATTGTTTATTTTATTTTCACTTACTGAATACGGGACAGGCTTGACTGGGGGAAAGAAGGGGAGAAAGAAAGAGGGAAAGAGAAACAGCTGAGAAGAGGGACGGGGGAGTGCACTATCCACTTTCTGCTGTGACACAACAAATTCCCCACGAGTAGGACTAAAAAAGTGATCGGGAGTGATCGTGGCTCAGGGGGTTGGGAATCGCATCTGTAACCGGAAGGTCGCCGGTTCGATCCCTGGGCTCTCTGTCCTGGTCGTTGTGTCCCTGGGCAAGACACTTTACCCTACTTGCCTACTGGTGTTGGCCAGAGGGGCCGATGGCGCGATATGGCAGCCTCGCTTCTGTCAGTCTGCCCCAGGGCAGCTGTGGCTACAACTGTAGCTTGCCTCCACCAGTGTATGAATGTGAGAGTGAATGAATAGTGGTATTGTAAAGCGCTTTGGGTGCCTTGAAAAGCGCTATATAAATCCAATCCATTATTATTATTATTATTATTATTATAAAAAAGCTTCTCTTATGTCTCTCTTATGGTCTAAAGTTTGGACATTTATAATGATTGTTGTAAAATGTAATCATCAATATATCAAATACTGAAAAATTTCTTGAAAATTCCTGAAACTTTCACTAACCGTTCTTACCACAAAGAGGGGAAAGTAAATAGGATCTGTATTTTGAGATAGATACATCAAAAACATCTGATATTTGGCTACTTAAAATTCAAAAAACAAATAAATAAAGCAGTCCTGTATAGTATCAATTGAGTACATACAAAAACAGTGATTCACATTGCAAAAGACAGCTGGTGATGAGTTTTGAATGGTATATAGTTGTATTTCACAATAATAAAACAAATATAATACTTTTTTAAATGGAAGTCTTTGTCACAAAAATAATGAAGTGGAAAAAAATGTGACAAGTTGTACAACTAAATGAAAATATCAGCAAATAGTCTAATCCAAATAGAACAACATTCTGGAGTTTCCAGATCGCCCACAATGACTTTTCTCTTTCTTTCTTTCTTTCTTTCTTTCTGTTGTAGGTATGGATAGCAGAACAGAAGCTGACCTTCGACAAGAAGAAGCAAGAAGACCTAATGCAGGCATATCTGAAAGAGCAAGACACTTACAACAACAGGTTAGATAAATACCCAGGAAGATACCTGAAAGAACACGTACAACGCACGTTTTTGTACACTTATAATTGAATATTTGAATATTTTACTCAGTAAATTGAAAACTTTTCTTTTGCAAGAACAAAATCTACAGTAGACATTGTCTTGCAACATCCTCCAACTTCTTATTTGTAAATGTTGATAAATACTGTTTAAATAATAATTGCTTTTTTACCTAAAGGTTGTTGATGGGTGATGATCGTGTTAAAAATGGCCTGAATTTCATGTATGAGGCTCCACCCGGAGCATCCAAAGGTAGGTCGTATTTTATGAAACAACTGTAATGTGTAATAAAGATCTCAATTCTGAAAATGTGGTTGTTAAGAAAAAAACATTCCTTTAATGTAAATGCTTGTTCCTTTTTATTTTCTCCTCATAACTGTCTTCTGTCCTGAAGAGGAAAAGAAAGAGGTAAAGTAAAATTTTACTGTCATCATTGTTTCAGACCAGGTGTGGTGAAATTAAGTGAACACAAATGTGTTGTTGTCTGTAACTCACAGACCTAAATTAGAAATAATTATTAAAAAAAACACCTTATGGTTAAACATCATAAACTGTGTTTTCAGGAAAAAAACATCTTATAAATGCATTGCAAACTATATGGTCCCGGTGACCCTAAAACTATAAATATAAACTAATGCTTTTACCTTTATATTCAGTTACTTGTATGTGCATGATGGTTTGACAGCAAACAACTTATATAGGTTCATTCATTTATAATAAGAAAAGTTACTATAATTTGTAATGAAAGACTTCTGACTTTCAGGAGGGGGAGGAAGAGTACAAATTTGAGTGGCAGAAAGGAGCTCCTAGAGAGAAGTAAGTGGTTGATTTTCATACACAATGAAGTTTTCTGCATTGCTGCCAGAATTTGCATTACTTTTTAAATTGTATCTTTTTAGGTATGCAAAGGATGACATGAATATTAGAGATCAGCCCTTTGGAATCCAGGTGTGTAATGAGTTCTATTTATTTAAATTTATATTGCACAAATAATCCCCCAGCCTGGCAGTTAATGTGTAAAGCTGCTTTCACACATGAACTTGGGAGAATTTCAGGAGCGTCAGGTCGGGATGTTTTCCACAGTTGCCCTTTCTCACATGTAGCGCACAGCAGGAAACGGTCTGCTTTAGACACGTTTGCACTACTGGAAATAAACCGTGTGGTTTAGGTGAAGAAGCTGCATGGGTAGAGCGTGCAGGAGGTAGGACATAGGACAACCACTTTTCACATGTGCCTGTGTCGGGCAAGTCCTTGAAAAGTTCAGGGCTGCAGTTTATATGTGGAAAATGGCTTAAGAGTCATGTTAAGCAAGTGACAAAAGAAACTATGTTAAATTTATGCATTCAAATCCTACAAATGAACCTTTTAGAAAAATCCCTCTGTGACTACAGAGTCAGCTGTAGACAGTTATTTGTTTTTGTTTTTTAGAGGATCAGAAGCTAAAGAGAAAATGGCAAACACCGTCTTATGTAATGCTCTGTGAATTATAGTGTATTTTTCTTATTATTAAAGGGTTGCATGTGCCTCCAGTGTTCGGCCAATTCTAATTTCTGTTATTGCCCAACTTTCCAAGGTGCGCAACGTGAGATGCATCAAATGTCACAAATGGGGCCACGTGAACACGGACAGAGAGTGTCCTCTGTTCGGACTGTCGGGTATCAATGCCAGCTCTATGACCTCAGAGGATGGCGCAGGTAAATACATTTTTTTTTTTTGTTTGTTTGTTTTTTTAATCTTTTAAATGAGAAATTCTGTGTTAACGCTGCTTTGACATCTATATAAAGACACCACTATTATTGTTGGGTACAGTTTTTTATTTTATGGCAGGATAATCAATAATGAGTTTAGCTGTAGTGCACATATACAGAATCTTTTTGCAGTGGAAAAACTCAAATAATTATTACTACAAAAGAATAAAGCGCCAGAAAATTTGCGAGCACTGGGAAGCTTTGCCTGTCACACGATTCGCAGCAGGTACACCGACTGTATCGTCCCTCTCTGGCTTCTGCTGGAGCTCCCGGCCTTGAGCTGATTCTGACTTGTGCAATCAGCCAGTTGAGTAGTAAAGTAATAATGTTTACCCTGGGAGAGTCCAGTCAGTGGTGTTGATGGTGGAGTGCTGTAATGGTCCCCCTCCTGTGCCGGGAGAAAAAATGTAATTATTGTGTATTCTGATTCCCTTAACTGCTGCTTTGGCAGAGAATGATATTGTATGATTTGCTCAGCCGGAAGTGGAGTGAGTTGATTTGATGTCCCATTCTGTTAACAAAGCCGCCTCTGAAATTCCCACTGTGGAGATAGTGGATGGTATGGCTCTGACATCAATGGGACTCTGAGGCTGTGATTTGTGCCAACAGGTCCGTCGATGCACCCCTCGGAGTTAATGGCGGAGATGCGAAACAGTGGGTTTGCTCTGAAAAAATCTGTCCTTGGTAGGAATTCAACTGTTTGCGATCCATTGCAGGTAATTGTGTCTCACACTGTCATCTCCGTGCACACAGGACAATATACGAACACACGCGTACTGTAAACTATACCCTTGAACGGGAGAGAGAATAACTAACTACAGATGCGGTTTGTCTTTTGATCGAATAGATTTGTAGAAAAGTGTAAAATAAAAAGTCAGATAAGTAGATTTAATAAAGAAGTGTTGTCACTGTCAAAGCCGATCAATGTGGATTTATTGTCAGGGCTTATATTTATTCGTAAATTGTAATGTTATGTGTGCTTTGTGATATTCCAGGATTATGTGGCCAGTGAGGAAGAGGAAGACCCCGAAGTGGAATTCCTGAAATCTTTAACAACCAAGCAAAAACAGAAACTCCTCAGGTGAAAAACCTGCACACATGATCACTTTTATTTCATTAATATTTAAATAAAATGTAAATAGTTAGACAAAATTTAAAACATGGTGTGATATGTTTTAGTGTCTATAGCTATTGTAGGCCCAGTTTCCCTATTATGTTTATATTACATTTAGTTTTTTGTCTTGTATCTTAATGCATTTTTTAAATAATGCAATCACTACATTTTCTGTTTCTGGTGAAGTGTTTAACTCCAATCTCTGCAAACTTTGTGCCTAATCAGAATTTATTACGCACAAATTAAATGTCCGCTGCGTCACTGAAGAATTTTAATTGAATGCTTGTTTTCCTTTATTTTTTGTTTTGCAGAAAACTGGATCGGCTAGAAAAGCAGAAGGCAAAGAAAAAGAAGAGCAAAAAACAGAAGAAGAAGAGCAAAAGAAAACACAAGAAAAAGCATGAAAGCAGCGACAGCTCGAGTGACTCCTCCAGTGGCAGCAGCAGTGATGATAGTGGCTCAGATTCAGACAGTCATAGCAAGTCCAAGAGCCAGAAGAGAAAGAAGAACAAGAAAAAAGATTCCTGTCGGGATAACAGCTCTGAGTGCGAGCGACAAGTCAAGAGTCAGAGAAAGGCCTCTTCTCACAGGAGCAGGTCACCGAGCCCTCGCACTGGACAGAAGCAGACTAAAGAGGAGTCTGGAGATTATAGACAAACAAGGATAGAGAGGGGAAGGAGCAGGAGTCGGAATCGCAGCCCCAAGAACACGATCACGCTGGAAGGAGGTCAAGAGAGAAAGAGGCACAACAGCAGGGACAGGCAGAGACCTAGCAGCTCCAAGTCTGGCTTGGACAGAAGTAGAAGCCACGAGAGAGGCAGGGAGGACGAAGGTAAAGACAGACGTCACAGTAGAGATGGTGAGAGGAACAGAAGTAGCACAGAAGGAAGGAAAGGCAGAACAGCAGATGGGAGGAGCAGAAGCAGAGAAAGGAGAAGAGAAAGGGAGGGCAGAGGAAGAAGCAGGAGTAAGAGTAGGGAGAGAAGAGACAAAAGTGGGGACAGAACAAATAGAAGACACTGACCTCCTTTCTTTAAGCTTGTTTTTCCTGCATATAGAACTAGAGGAAAAAGGAAAATCTCATGCATGTCTCTTGCACTATCTATTAAGTAGTAATTTTTGTTATGCATGTAGGGTCCCTTTATTTAAATAGAAGAAATTGTGTGTTGATCTCCGTTTCTTCCAGCAGAGGGAAGCAGTCAACAGAAAATATCTAGATGCATGTCAGTGCACACTGATGCTGTTTTGTACTGTATGAAAGGGTCTAAATGAATTGGTTACCATTAAAAGCAATTTGCATCTGATCCATTGATGGGAAAATGTTGGACTCCTTTTCAGGGTCACTACCAAAAAAATAAAAAATAATAAAATTCATCTGATGCAATTTTTAAATCTTACTTTTATGATTGTGTTTGTGAAAATTGTTTAGATTTTTTTTTTTTTTTGTTAAAAGCAGGACTGTTATTTTCTGATTAAATCTTTAAATCAATTAGTTTATGGAGTTATTTATCGCGATGTTTAAGTTTAATGTCAAATTTCATGAAAGTGAAGACGTGGACTGATGAGCCGTCAGTCTTTATACCCGTGTGTTTTTGTGCTCTGGACACCTCATAGAAATTTCATACACTTTTTTTTAATCCACAAATTATTATTATTATTATTATTATTTTATTTTTTTAGTAATGGGCACAAAAAATTAAGACCAGTTTCCCCGAATTTTAATGGCCTTTAAAGTGCGTTATCCCTGAATCTCTGTAAACCGCTCGTTGGGTTTTTTCCGGGCGTTAAATGAAAATAGACAAAGAATAATTTGTGTACAAATAGCCAGCGAGCATAGTAACACCCCGTTATAAGGCATGCAGTAGATGTGTATAAATTAAGGCAGTTACAATTGCAGTTATTTCATTGGCTACTTTTACATGAGACATTTACATTAAATATAACCTGTAGAGTTTTAAATAATTTTTGTAGCGATTTTTCTTTGACATTTAGACTTACAAATTGCAGATTTTGCAAACTGTTTTGATGTCGATAAAAATGACACATTTTGCCTCCCCCCCCCAAAATAATAATAATAAAAATATGGAGGAAAAAACAGTTGCTGAACGTGTCGACAAAATATTAAATTTCAGCGTTATTATTTAGGCTGTTTATATATTTTTTGATTAAATTCAGATTGGAAATGTAGTAATTTGATAGTTTTCACTTTCTGCCCGTTTCCTTGAAGCCGCTGCTACACAAAAGGAAATGAAAATAATTTCCCTCCTATTGCCTTCTGGTCAATTTAACATCCTCCTTAAAAAGAAAAGGGGGAAAAAAGAGGGTGTCTGGATGAGATGCTTTTCCGTGACGTATTCCTAGTCCTGGATTCATGCTGTAATTATTCCCCGGCCTTTTCTTTGAGAGTCGGACGCTGCACTGGGTAAGCACAAAGAAGTCAGAGAGCATCCTTGAACCCTTTCAGTGCGGGGCCACTGATATTCAAATAACATGCAGCTACCGTTTGACTGCGCCGTGCAAAGAGCATTTTAAAATTCAACATTTGCATGTGACTCTTTGCCCCCCGTCTTTTTCTGAAGTTTAAAAAACTGTTCCCATAACGTGTTTCTGGCAAAGAGAAAGAAGCCACATCCTTATTCTCAGTCCATCGATTGCTATGCAAATGAAAGCAGTTAATTTGGACAATTAGAATAAATATTCGGGGACCTTTGTCAGCGAACCCCCTTGGAAACCCCTCGATAAAGTGAAACCGAACAAAAGATGTCTCGGAGATTAATTAGATATTTGATAAGACACGAATCCCTAATCGCAAATACAAGACACATGGGGCTGCGATGTGCTCCAAGTCATAATTAATACCATTTAACAAGATTTTCATTTGGGCATGAAATGTCTTTTCCGGGGCATTAAACATTGATTTATTCCATAGAGGAAATAGTTAAAGTCGACGTATTGTAGGTGATTTTAAGAAGGAAAAAAAAGCCTGTGATGAGCTGTCACACTTTAAAAAAGTAAAAAAATAAAAAATATATATTTTTAGATTTAAACCTAATAAATAAACAAAAAATATATAAACTCTACATCACACACTTAAAGCCTTTTTTAAGATGTTTTAATTACGATAAAATGAAAGCCTTATACGTGTGACTTTATACAGGTAAACATTTATATATAGATAAATTTTTTTAGCAAAGAAATAAAATGGTTAACCAAAGTTTAAAAAGCCGTTTACATACATATCCACAAAGTGCGTCGAAAGTAAACTCCCTGATTTCCAGGATACCAACACGAATAAAACAATCATAGCCTAACATTTACATGAAAATAACACATAGTTTAGTCGTCAATATACAAGGTGTAACTCACATTGTCCAACCAAAGTTCAACAGGTTTCGCGCATTAGCAAACATCCATTTCATTTTCAAGCTGTCTCCCTCAAATTTTCCGAAGGCCTACAGTAAATCACTCTTTTTTTCTTTCTTTTTTTTTTTGTAAAGATGAATTTACGAATGAAATACTCGTCACGCCTGTGGAGAATATATTTTTTTTTTTTAGATTTTGCTATCGCTTCTGGAAACATTTTCCCCTTTACTGTCCGTCAGATAAGACCCGTTTTCATTGCTGTGCAGTTTTTATTATTATTATTATTATTTTTTGTGTGTTTTTTGTTTTAATCTGGATTGATTTTTGGGAGATGCCTCAGGGTTCGTCGTGAGGAGACGGATCCTTAACAGTAATTCTGGGGTTCACCCCTTCCAAAATAAGTTCTGGGGACTCGGACCTCGGGGTCTCCAGGTTACTGGTGTCGGTGTCACTGTCGCTCCCCTTTTTGCCTCCTCCACCTGCCGTGTGTGTTTTGATGTGCTTGCTCAAATGATCACTCCGCATAAAGCGCTTGTTACAAACCGGGCAAGCAAACCTTTTCTCGCCGGTGTGGGTGCGCAGATGTCTCTGGAGCTCGTCGGACCGAGTGAACCTTTTGCCACAGAAAAGCCAGTTGCAGACAAAAGGCCGCTCGCCGGTGTGCCATCTCAAATGCGCTTTGAGGTGAGACGTCTTTCCGTACACTTTACCGCAGCCGGGAATGTGGCAGCTGTGGAGTCCCTTTCTCCGCAGGCTGGCCCCGGCGGGCCCCAGCCGCTCAGCCTCCTGGCAGTTCGGGCAGTCGCATGTTGCTCTGCCAGAGTACCTCCTGGACGACCTCGAGGAGCTACTTATTCCTGAACTGCCCCCTGAAATCATGGCGTTGGCGGCAGAAGCGTCTGTGTAAGAGGGGATGACTGTTTTGAAACCGTCCTGCGTTAACAGGTGCTGGCTGGTGGACAGTAGGTGAGACGCAGAGGGGCTGATTCCAGTGGAGCTAAACGCCGAGTGGGTCAGCGAGGAGAAGTCCGGGTTGTAGCCACTCAGCTGGGAGTGGATAGCCTGCGGGGTGCCGGAGTGCAGAGAGGTCTGAAGGGTGCTCGCGGGGTTCTGGACATCGAGCCACGACCCGGGATTTGTGTGAACGTCCCACCACGAGGACGCACCATTGGTAACGTCACCGGAGATGGTTGAGTGGAACCCCGACTTGTACCACGACTCGTAGGGGTGCGCCATCCCCACGCGCGGGTACAGAGTCTCTGCTGATGTGTGGACTTTGGAGATAAAAGCTGACTGTCCAGATTCCTGGGTCGTGACGCTGGCGGAGTTGGAAAACAGACCGCTGTACTCTGTGGAAAACGCAGACGAGGTCGGGGAGGTGGAGGCTAAGCAAAAGGCGCTGTTGCTCGTGCCACTGGTCTGTGTTAGTCCTGTCGAAGCGCGGCTCGTCGCTACCGTGAAACCGGGCAGACTGGATCCTAAGTTGCAGCTGGAGGAGGATCTTTTCCACGGGTGAAATCCACCTTTCGAGAAAGCGCTGGAGTCAGGTAAAGTTGTAAGAGGACTGGTGTTGCCAATTTTGTTACAAGTTGCAGCCAGCATCGCTAGAGGTGTAGTTCCAAACCGTGGTTCTTCCTGGGTGGAAAAAAAAGAAACACACAAACACACAGACACACACACACATGGGCTTAGAACAGAGAATAACAAACGAGAAAATGAGGAAAAATCATTTCGCTTGGCTTGGAGAGCACTCAGCATACATGACTAAAATTAATTAAATACGACAAAATTTCATAACTTTACTGAAACGTCTTTGGAAACGAATGAACCCGAGATTTTCTTCTTAAAGGCGTGTATGTGTACAGAGTGTGTAACATGTAAGCAAAGCAAGGTAAGAAATGTTCATCGAGTTTCTAAACATATTAAAAAAAACCTTTAAACGACTGCAAAGTTTCATCTCCATGTTTTATATGTTTTGTCCAAGATTAAAAGTTTTAATTGTAGTAACTGAGAAAATGATAAATTCTACCCGTGGAAAACACGCGTGTTTTGAAAAGCAACAAACACATCCCGCCGCACAGCAAAGTGAGCGGCGACAACTTTACGCGCAACTTCTGTGCTTGGACACAAAGTCAGACTCACCCCAAGTATAGACGTAGCCATATCCAGGGTCTGTGCTGTGATGAGAGGGTTCGCGATTTCAGTGCTGTATGGCTCCAATTTGTGTCAGATTTACCGTGTTGACTCAGGTCACACGGTTTCTCTCTTGGCTCGCAGCTCCCAACACTACCTAGTTGTAGCGAGCGTGTTCTTTGAAGTACAGCTGGCGAGGACGCGCAGCCAATCTGATAGCTGCATTCATGGCCGGGGTTTCAAGTCGGCCAATGAGAGAGCCGACCACAGACAGAAACACCAAAAACCCCGCCGTCAATCATCTGTTTGTGCAGCCTCCGGCCAGACTGTCATACAAGACACGATTTGGTGTTTTTTCTTTTTTTAAATGCATACAGTTATTTTTATGTATTCTCACACGAAGGCTCAATGTCTCCTTTCATTCCAGAATTGAGTTTTTTAACACGTCAGTTCTCCAAGAGGTAAGCGTTTCACTAATTCTCTAAGGCTTTTGTAGATTGCGGCTTCTAAGGTGCAGCTCCAGGTTTTCCCTTCTGATTTTTTTTAAAATATTCAGATCATGCGCAACACGTCATTGAGAAATTGTTGATTTAAGCGCAGTCTGTATGCTTGTGAAAGATAACTCGGAGATGGCTTTATCAGAGCGGTCTGCAGAAGTGCAAGCGCAAGTGCAAGCTGCTGCGTGTTAGGCACGGTGGGAAACGACTGGGGTTTTAAAGTGGTTGTGTTTATATTGGGAAATCAGAGACGGATTAAAGTTTAGCCAAGAAGTCCAGAAACAGGCCTGACAGCGCAGACCTCCGCTTCTCCGAGCGCAGTTAGATTATTTATGAGCCTGCTGCATTCGAGTGACTTTATAGGTGAAGGAAAGCAGATTCATCCAAGACTCGCAATTAATCAGTTAACTTTTTTTCCAGCCAAAATCTCCACTTATTTGTGCCTATGCTCGTGTTTGCGCGCGCCAGTGCCACACGCGTACCTCCCTGCCCACTTGTTGGGGGGTGGAGGGACGCAGGTGAGGGGTTAATTAAAAATGACAGCTCACCTGATAAGTGAAAGCAGTAGATCTGTTTTAAAAGACAAGTATTTTATAGTGGAGGAGGGGGGGGGAGAGAAGTTTCAGTATCCAGGAGATTCCTGCTGTAAGGCCGCCAGTCATCTCCATTAAACCGATTTATTAACGCGATGTCTTCATTGTAGCTGAGAAATAATTTTTTTTTTAACACCAGCCCAATCCCACATTTAATTAAATTGCGGACAATGAAGAGGATGCCGCGTTTCGCCAGTTTCTTCTTCTTCTTTTTATTATTATTATTCTCCTTTCTCTAAACTCGAGACTTTTATTTTTCTCCCTTTGAATATAACAATTCAATAAAGCCGCATATTTCATAGCTTGTTAAAAACGCTCAGGGATAATGGCATAATGTAAAATTGACCTGCTCTGATGTGAATCATCATCCTTTTAAAAGTTAAAGCAATTTTCCAGAGAAAGGCTTGACCGAAAGATGTGCATTACAGTATTCAAAACGCGCAAATAATGCTCTATTATAGAGTGTGAATGCTGCCAGTAAACACAGGCGCAATTTGTTCAAATACTCTTTTTTTCCCTTCTTTTTTTTTTGCTTTAAAGCCCCACCTTTAGAAGGGTGAATAAAAATCAGTCTCATCAAACAGGCTACTTGGCGCTGCCAAGAAAATGGAATCATTTTTTGCAATCATGACAATTTGGCAGAGTGCTGTTAACAGTATTAAGCGTTTATTCTACATAAGCACAGTTTATTGTTGCTAAAGAAGTTAAACGAGTCTGAGGATTAAATGAAATTTAATGTAAGCGTTTATAATTCTTTTTTCCTGCATGAAAAATATCTTCACCCTGCAATTAATTTCAGATTACCATTATTTCTTAGTTTTGTTTACTATGTTTGTAATGAATTATATAGTTAAAATGAAATCTGCTATTGTTGTTCTTATATTAATATTTCTTCTTCATAATAATAACAATAATGTATTACTATTATAATTATTCTGATGAGCAGTGTGACCGTTCACATTGCTCCTAACAAAGAAACGTGTGTAGGAATCACAAGACCCTTGTGCACTGATAAATGTTACCCACCTATATTTTTTATTTAAATGTACTAGTACAGAAATGTTTGTGTTAGTTCCATTAACCCAGGCTGATAAAATATGGGTGGTTTTTTCATAGCATGTTTATTTGGGACAAGAGGGGAGAACATGATCTTTCCTTGTCATTCAAAGGAAAATTCTGAGTTGAATCTGTAATTCTGGACTCCATTCGTGAGCACTTCTCTGTGGCAATTAGGAGCCTATTACAAGCCATTAGATTGATCAATGTACCTTAAACAATGGGAATGATTTATTTGGTCGAACAAAACGCTCTGCATCTATTGTGATGAGTCTAAGTGGGGGTGCATCCATCAACAAAAGATAAATGATTAATTCAGACCTATTCATTTAAATTCTTTCTACAAAGCCAGCCTCACTTGCCTCAAATCCAGATTATTAGAGCCTCATTTTCTGCATGTTAAACTAGACAGGCTGCTGGATGGGGCAATGGTTTTTGGTTGTGCCCCTGTGTGCTTTAATTTGTATTTCTGCAGCGGGAAGTTTATTTGAGGATGTTTAACTAATTGTTGTAATTTCGTGTGCTCATGTGGCTACACCTGTTTCTCTCAAAAGGGGGTTGAAGTGTAAACTGTGAGTGAAAAGGATGTTATACTTTACTTCTGTGGTGCTGAAGCTGTACATTTTTTTTTATCTGGGAAGTCCACTTGGATCACAATATCAGAGGAAGCCCAGTTTATAGAAAATAAATGGGTACAAATATGTTAATTTTATCCTTTTTTTGTTATTTTATGGCTTTTTTGTAAAATAAATGTATAGATAACGTGTTATATATTTTGCATGGATTTCAGTTGTGTGTTTTCCATGAATTCTTATTGTTATATTAGTGACAACTAAAGAGAGACCGCAGTCAGAAAATAGATGGCATAAACTGAAGTGCATTGGGAAATTAACCACTTGACAATCAGCTTTTATTTCCATAGGAAGGTAACAAGCTATAAAACAAGGGAACAAGACAAATTTGTGCAAACCTTTGAGCACTGAGACCCACAATAATTACAACTTGTGGAAGCCCCAAGTTAGACGAGCACCAAGACTGGCGAAGGAAATGTTCATTAGAAAAAGAAAAATCAAATCAGACAATACAGTCAAGCCTCTGAGAAGGAAAAAATCTGCTTTTAGTAGCCACTTTTCTTCAGCACTGTAGTGCTGATCTTATAGGAGCTCATCGACCTGCATCAATATTATCGACAGCTAAATTTGGAGGTGCAGGTCAGCTCGCCAGCTTACAGTGTCAACTTTCATTTCCAGGGGCTGCAGGTTCTATTTTGAGCACAGCGAGTGATCTGCTTAAAGTGCAGTCGACTGGTTGCATTTGAGGACTTAGCTTAGCCCATTTTCCTTCAATGAATGAGCTTTTCTTATAGCTGTAGTGGAATTCAGTGGACTCTTCTAGTGTGAGAAATGGCTCCAAAAAAGGTGGGTTTTATTAAGGAACAGATTTGTTTAAAAAAAGGAAAAAACTATAGCATACCCTGTAGATTATGCAATGACAAGTGCTTTTCTGACTGCGTGCATTTCCACATTGTCTTGATTAGGGCAAGGGAGCTGATGCACCAAAGCCACCACCATTGATTGGAAGGTTTGGCACCTCGCTGAAAATAGGGATTGTTGGCCTGCCCAATGTTGGGTGAGTAAAACCTTATTTATACAGACAGGATGGGCTTCTCACTACATTTCATGTGCCCCATGTCTACTGTTGAACTGCACCGACTTGCTGTATGCAAGACAAGATGTAAGCTGCTGCATGACAAGTGCAGACAACTTCTACCTTTATTTCATTGTTCCATGAGAGTTTCTCCATGTTACACCTTTTGCATGCCTTGCTACATGGTGATAAAAATAAATAAATAAATAAATGAATAAATGGCACGATTTTAAATCTGCGTGCCAGAAAGAGCTGCTCCTTGGATAACTGTGGGAAACGTTTCTGTGTTCCTGAATAACCACAACAATGTTTGAAAAGCTCTTAAATTCCTGGAGCCACATGTGTCCCTACTAGCAGGGATCAAACTCCGCAAGAGGTTTTCAAACCAGGTCTTCCCTTGCATGCATCTTAACCCTCTCTCTCAGCTACCCATCCTTTCACAAAGGCTTCAGATGTTACCGTTGTTTCCTTTTTTGAATGTTACAGCAGAAAAGTGTTATAAGGGTAGACCTGGGGCGTCAAGCATCTGCAGCTCATAAAAACCCACGGTGATAAAAAAAAAAAAAAGGTTAAAGTTTGCATGCCTTTTGTTTCCTCAATGTCTGGATTTATGAATGCTGAATATTACTATTAAATCAGTGGAAAAAGTAGAAAAAATAAAAGAGCAACACCTTACATGTGGGAGCGTGCTGCATTTGAACTGAATGACAGCATGCAAAAAAAACCCCTGCATTCCTCTTACTGTCTACTATTGTTTCTGTCCTTTTACTGAATGAGGGAGTGGGGCTCTTGATTGGTTTTGAAAGCTCACTTATCGCTCTGCAAAGCCCATTGCTGGTCAAAGCTCAGTGTACGTCTCAGGCAGTCTGTGAGTCAAAAGGCTGACATCACGTTTCCATGTCACACCTGGTCAGACAAATCTTTTTTGTCAGCATCTACTACATCTAAGACCTTCAGCAACATCCGTGACATAGTGTAATAACAGTGCAGACCCCACCATGACTTCCCTGTAGGCCCCTTTGAGTTACAGAAAGGGCTACGGTGATACATCATGTTCCTTTTCAGCTGTCATGTTCTCATCACTTTGCCCCTCCGTGAAACTTTTTTTTTTTCCAGTAATTTTCAACAGAACAGTTGTTTTTTCGAGCAGTTTGGAAAGTTTTGGAAAACCAATGGCTTTTGGAAGGACATTGGAAACATTGTCCATGCTCTGTATTGTAATTAGTCAAATGAAAGTTAGCCTTACTGTTTTAGTTAAACTGTGGACAAGCTGGATTTCTTCTTCTGTTCTTTTCTTCTTCTTCTTTTTTAGCAGACACTTATTACTAGAGGGAGGAGATATTTATACAGAGCCCGTTTTCTGCAGCCATTTGTTCACATGTGGTGTGTATTGGTAGCTGTTTTGAAGATTATTGCACACCATCTCATCATCTCTCTAGTGCCCAATGTTTTCGTTTCTTACCCCAGCAAAACCACAATGTCTTCCTGGGTTAAGAAGTAGAACTCACTGAGGTTGCGGCCTGCCATACCACGTTTATGTCAAAGTACAACTTGTCAACCCTCCTATGGTTTCTTCCTGAATGAACTATGTTCAGATGCCAGCCAGCTGTTAGTTGGGCGTAACTGACCACTCTTCACACATGGGAAACTCGAGAGTGTGATTCAGCCAGCCTTTCAGCTATTCCTACACTTAGACCACAGCACATGCTCACTGTGTTTACTGCCATTCTCCTGCTCATAGGCTGGAAAAAAGTTTATTCTTGTCTGTTAAGGCTTAGAGAAACACACTATATGGTCTGCATAAAATCTCCTTCACTTCTCTTATGCTACCAATACACAGTATCTACCTTTTGCCTTATTCCGCAGCTCCATTTGACTTAGAAGGCAATGTAAAAACAAGACAATAACTGAATAATAACCTCAGATTGGTATGCCTTATATAAGCTATGCATTTTCAGCTGTTTTTATATAGTGAGTGGAGAAATTTGTCCAACTGTGTCATTATGACAATGAATAAGACCGTTTGCATGATGCTAGCCAAGATTACCAAGATTAAAAAGGCATTCAGACAGAAGAACTGACCAGTAGACTATCATGAGAGTCTTAACTTCTGATATGACTTGTTAAAACAAGCATCCATTGCTCAAAGCATGTATATCCTGCAGAGATATAAATCCTTGATATACACCAAGTTACATGTTTGCACCAATCAAGATGGAACCTCCCCGCAAAAGAAAAAAAAAGTTAATATGTCACCATGTGCATGTGCTTTTGTCTTGATTGACAAAAGCACATGCATATGCACATGCACATGCTTTTCCTGGATACTTGCTAGATCCCCCCCCCCCCCACAGTCCTAGTTAGTGTAGCCTACCTTATCTCCATTGTTCCATTTCCACCACTTGTTGGTTGGCTCAAACTGCACGTAGAAACTAAAGCTGCAATCAGCACCAGCGATGTCTAGGAAACAGTTTATTTAAAGGAAAACGGAAGTGTATGAAACGTCTTTTTATGTTATATAAACACTGAACCTATGGCGCCTGATGCACCGCCTTTTGACACTTCTGACACCACCTGCCAAGCGAGAGAAAACATACCTCAAAGCCCATCGCACTACAGTTGGCATCACTTCAAGGAAACACAGCATTCAACCTGGAAAATGAGCTCCAGGTTTAAAACTCTAATATACTGTGAATTACCAGGATCCTTACCTTGCACTGATGGGCTTCACCAGCATTGTTGGACTAAAATCGAACTTGAATGAAAATGAAATTTAGATGTGAAAGTTACAAACTGTAGCTTTGACTTTATATTTACCAGATGATAAACATCCCTTAATATCCCTGTTCAAGTTCACATTTGGGCATTTTTTAATTTGAACACCAGTGACACATGCTATCTTTATTAAAAGATGTCTCATAATAACAATCCAGCGAGCAGCGAGAATCCTAGCCTATGCTAGCTAGTCATGAGATGTTTACCTTTAGCTCCGTAGCAGAGCTGTTTAACACATTTGTTTGAGTTACTGCACTTTAAATGTAAGTGTTAGTCTTTCATTAAAAAGATTGATTGATTTCATAGCTACAAATCTTGACTTCCTAGTTTCCATAACCCACCAGCTGAAAAAACACCCAAACCCTGGCTGCAAACTACTAATCTTCTTTTTGTTTTTTCTTTTACTTACTGTCACATCACCCTCAGATTTGCACTGCAGCAAGTGTGTGCATTGCTGTTCTGTTCTCTATATTAAGCATTAAAGTCTACACCTGAGAGATGTTTTAGTGTTACTTTTCTTTTTTACCCAAGGTGACCCGGGAAAAGCTTCAAGTATGTTAGAAAATCAATCTAGCTTTATATAAGGAATTAATACATGCACTTTGGCAGTCTCAAGCAATTTCATGCCTATAGGACTTAACAAACAATAATTTCAATGTGAAGCACTGAGTGAGGGGATAAAGATGGAAAGTCCTGGATTATAGGTAACTGCCATGCCATCATTACTCTTAGACACTCACCATTGTCTGTAGATTTTGAAGTACACTCGAGCTGCTTGTGCCATAGAAAATAAATCTCTCTGTGATCACAACATGAGGCTGCATTTTGTGAGTCCTGTTCAACAGCCAGTCGAATCCATTTACAGCAGATCTATTATGGGATTATCTAACCTTGTAATTGATGCAGGATTTTATATTCAAGAGCTCAAATATTCAGCCTGTTAGCACAACCTTTTCTGCCTCGTGTGCAGATTAAAAAACAACAACTTCATTTTGCATAAATAACTGACATGTTTTAGGATCATGCTATTGAACCGCCAGACCCTACACAGCAGCACTTTTAGATGCCTTGACCTCACTGCTGTTTTTATTTTCAGTAAGTCAACCTTTTTCAACGTGCTGACAAAGAGTCAGGCTGCGGCTGAAAATTTCCCCTTCTGCACCATTGACCCAAATGAAAGCAGAGTGCCCATTCCAGATGAACGCTATGATTTCCTCTGCCAATTCCATAAACCTGCCAGGTATGAGGTCTCATCGTTCCCGTATTATTCACACTTCAGATCTGTAGTCTCTGACAGTCCCCTTGCTATAGGTATGAGAAAACGTATACCAATGTTGTTGACATGTAGCTGTGAGCTTTTAGATTGCTTCTCTGCTTCTTTCAAAGAAGAGCCAAAGCATCTTTCATCACCTGGTTATCATACATACTCATGGAAACTGCTTAAGCAGGTTCAATTCAGATTTCCTGCGCTATGTTGTATATTAGATATACCGTAGCCATATGCATAGATGACACTTTTTATTACTAATTATCCCTCTAACCACACAATTAAACCTCCCCACCTCTCACAAGGTCACGCAAATGATATTTTGCATGTTTCTTATTTAAAGAATATAATTTAAAAACAACCATAAGCATTTTGAATTGATTCTGAAAATTATTACCTGTGCATCTAAAAGCCTCATATATGTTATTCTTAAGTGCCATAGACCTGCAGTGTTGTTCAGATTATAACAAACACATCAGTGAGCCATTCTGCTGTCATAACCTTCCAATCAACCAAATACCATTTATTAATTATGTCTTATATTTGGTCTTGTCTTAGTACTACTTTAAGTGTCTATTGGCAGTGAACATTGGACTACAATACCTTTAATAAGCTGTCATTAATACGCGTATGTGATCCTTAAAATGAATCTGTTGTCACTTTTATATTAATGTCATTTACAGTACTGTGCAAAGGTCTTGGGCCGCCCCTCATTACTTTATATTTTGTTATAAAAATGAGAAATAGGTGCAAATGCAGCATATAAGATAAAAAAAAAGAGTTTATATTACTCTAATGAGCTTGAAAGTCAATATTTGGTATGGCCAGCTTTATTCTTCTACACAGCTTTCTTGTAATTTCTTTAAGTACTGTTCCAGGCTTCTTGAAGGACATTCAAATCTCCTCTTTGGATGTTTGCTGTGTTTTGTTGTGTTTTCACACACTGCTTCATTAATGTTGAGGTCCATGGTCTGGGGAGGCCAATCTATGACGGTGTGTTTTTCTATCATGGCAGAGCCTCCACCGTGTTTGGTACTGCTGGATATGTACCTCAACAATTTCTCCCTTTCTTACAAGTGGCTTCTTGATAGCCTTCCCTCTGAAGCCATTTCTGATGAGGCTTCTTTGGACAGTAGATAGATTAACTAAAGGGTATAGGGTAAATATGGTATAGGTTAACTATATTTCCCCACTAATATCGCGTTACGAACCACCTTATCAGTACAGAAAATAATATTTTATGCATGAAAAACTCTGTTCTCCTTGGAATCATTTTTAGAAATTGGAACAAATTGGAAGTTTTCGATTAACAAAATGACTAAAGATTCCATTTAAAACTGGTTATTTGCTAAGTTGTCTGTTATGAATGAGCACAACACTGCTTCCTCCCTTGAGTCAGATGCTTTTTTATGTCTGAATGAATAATAGTGTCAGGTGGCTTTATAAGCAAAAAAAAAATCATTCCTCTGAAAAGGGTCAGATATATAGTCTGGACTGAAGATGAGTGAAAAGCAGCCAAAAACCTTTAGAAAGTGAAGAACTATGACTCGAGTCAACTGTAACAAAAAATAGAAGAAAGTCTGGCTCGTTTGAGGCAACACATGAAAAATCAGGGGTAGCTCAAGACTTTAGCACAGCACTGTAAAGAATTAATAAAGTAAAATCTAGAAAAATAGTTTACTCTTACTCTGAAATGTGGGTAGATCCTGCTTTTTAGTGACTTGCGACTTGAATAACATTGTCATTGTAACATTATTATAATCTGATACTTTGTCTGCCTCGTACTACACCATCAGCTTTCAAATTTCACAGCACTTTATATTATATTGTAGTAGAAAACAGCAACACATCAACCAGGACATCCCCCCCTCCTGTGATCCATTAACCTGAGTGTACTTCATATTGAATCGTATTGGACTGAAGCACAAAAATATGTTGTTTCCATTTTCATCTGAATTATCTGACTGTTTCCTTTTTTTTTTTTTTAATTTATTTATTTATTTTATTGCTTCTTTGGTTGCAGCAAAATCCCAGCTTTTCTTAATGTTGTTGACATTGCTGGTCTGGTGAAAGGTGCTCATGCTGGCCAAGGCCTGGGAAATGCCTTCCTGTCCCACATCAACGCCTGTGATGGCATCTTCCACATGACACGTGAGTATATATGTGCATATACATATAAATATATTTGGGATTTCGTCATTAGGAAATCATGAAATACTTAATATATAATATTTCATAGTAGTGCTAAAACAGTTGCACGGGCAACATTTGATAATACCAGGACTCCAAAACCAGACATCTGAAAGCAGCAGTTTTAGTGGAGTTTTGCTAGCGGGGCATCTTGTGTGGTCGGTGCCAAGATGAACATACCAGTCAGAATTAATGAAGTCAGGCCAAACCTCACATTCCTACTGGGAGGCTCCCTCAATGAGAATCACAGTAGTGGGGAGTGCCTGGTTTCGACTTCACACAATCAGTAGCATATTCTGAGGGCTGGAAACATCACAGGACTGTTGAGAAGGAGCGCTGCTTATTATTGTAACATGATCCCTAATGCCACTTTTGATTAGGTTTGGTTACAGAAGAGGTAAGTAAGTTATTAATAAATAAAATCTATGAAATTTTGTCCTTTCTTTGTTTGTTTAAAGAAAACCCAGTAAATCTATTCTAATCTATTGTCACCTATATCTAATGTTACTAATGATGTTGTTTATTTGCTATGATTCTAAACGCTGCCTGCTGCTACTGTGAAAGTGCAAATGTAATTATCTCATCAAATTATTCCCAGTCTGGCCCTCAGCGAGACAGCCTTCAAACCACTTTCTAAGTCTTCCCCTGCCTCCAGTTCTTCTGTGTCTCTGACATGGTCTTTGTCTTAGACAATTAAAGTGTTACACGCTAGAATAATTCAAATTACAGCAACTGAAATGAATGCAGAGGCCCCATTTAAAAATAGCTGAATTTGTTTGCTGATTGTATGCTGTTATTGACTTTCCCACTGTGTGAAAGGAGCTCTGATTAAAGTCGGCTGTGACAGGCACAGCGCAGACGGACAGAAAGGGTTAAGATTAAGGCCATTTTTCTATATTGTTCCTAGTTGTCTCTGTGTATCACTGGCAAACATATTACTTCTGTTTCAGTGCAGTTTTCAAACAGCATTGCTGCATGGTGACTCTGTAGTATGTGAGACGTGGAGCTAGCAGACCACCTGCTGTAACTTAGTAATGATTTACAGAATGGATGAGACGTGTCAGGTGAGGTTAACTTTTGTCAGCTCAGTTTTTATGGACTTTTTCTGGAATCACAGGCATATAATCCTTTTGTTTTTTTGCTCTCACAATAAATCTGTTGGTCTGCTACTGATGAACTCACCCTTTGGTTTCCTATATATATCTATCTATATATCTATCTATATATATAGATATATAGATATATACTGTATATACTATATATATTTTTGTTTTAATTTTTAGCAAATCAAAGGAAAAAGACAGAATTAATTCTGCTCCCAAGGACTCTTTTGGATATTCCTCCATGCCACTTACTGCTGTCCAAGAGACACATCACTGAACCACACCATTGTAGTCATGGACATATTACTTTATTATGCAAAAAAATCCATACTAGTCTATTTACAAACAACCTTTTGCACTGATATAAAGATAATATAGATAATAGATAATCACTTTTATCATCTTAGAAAGTGGTTTGTTCCACATGCGTGTATATTCAGTTCTGTTTACACCTCTTCACAAGTTTTTGGAGTTCTTACCACAACTTGCTGATTTGGGGCTGAATTTCTTTGAACTAACTGCAGTTTGTTCAGTACAGTGAATATTAAAACATTATTAACTCCCAAAATGAAAGTATCACATGTACAAGGTATTGAAAAGAAAAGATACAGACAGCACTGAAAGAGATACTGACAGAGATGACAATAATCAACAGATGATAATGCAATCCAATCATCTGATATCGAGGCACTGAGCACCACAAACAGAACTACAAGAAGCCTGAGGGTTCAGCTGCAGTCAGTGCTCTGCAGTGCCAACTGAGGCAAAGTGTAGATGAAGCAGTAGATGTTTTGGAGCCAATGCTGCAGGAGCTAAAAGATGGGGAAGGCTAAAATGGCCTGTGTATGTTATAGCTACTACAGTTTCCCAATATAGCCGAGGGCTAGATTGTTGAACGCTTTCCTTGGTGAAAACATAAACTGGCAGCAGAACTGAGGATGCAGCTAATGTTTACGGTGCAAGCTGCTGTGTGTTCATGAGCATGCTAAGTGGCCACAGGCAAATAAGCTAAAATAGGACTGTTTCATTTTTAATAAACAATATGGCATATCCTGATAAAACTGTAGTTCTTAGCAAATGTTACACAAACAAGTTTAAATAGTGCTTTTATTGGAGATTGCTTTCATGTCCGTTCAGGAGTCATTTATTTATTCATGCAGTGTTTAGCAGAGCTAAAGTGGTGTCACTCAATGCATAGCTGTGACTCATAGGTTAAATTAGACACTCTGCTATCTACACTCACTGACCGCTTTGTTCAAATGCTCGTTAATGGCAATATCTAATCATCCAATGACATGTCAGCAGTGTAATGCATTTAGGCATGTAGACATGTTCAAGATGACCCGCTGAAGTTCAAACTGAGCATCAGAATGGGAAAGAAAGCTGATTTAAGTGAATTTGGTTGTGGCATGGTTGTTGTACATAGTGTCTGAGCATAGGGAGAAGAATCACAGCTTACAGTAATTTCTAATGTGAGCTTCAGTAGATTTTCTTAGTTTACATGCTGTGATCAGCTGACCTGCTGCTCTTTGTGGATTTACACAACTGAGTTCAACAAGATGTCAGCAGCTTCACGAGCTATCCTGGCTGATTTCCATCTCATACACGGACACTGACACTATATATTTTTTATACTATCTTTATACTAGACAGTGCAAAGTTGGTATAATGTTGGAATTCAGTGAATTAATCTAAGTAACATCATTTTAAATGCAGATTATTCTCTGCTACACTCTATGTAACCTAACTCTGACCATGAACATCACAGCCACTGTGTGCCAGTCCAACACTATACTAACACAAAGTTAGTATAGTGTGGTTTGTTTTGCAGACATCACACACAGATAAAATTATGAGATTACATGTAAGCTTTAAATTTGCAGTTTATTAAGCATCACTGAGCAGTCCTTACCTTTTAATCTCTTCTTCCTTTCCTGTCTTTTCTTACATCTTTCTTTATCTCTGAGTGAAGTTATCTCACATTCTTTGCTTTGGAGACCTGACAGGACATTGGGTAAAAAATAAACACAGAAGCAACATGGGATTTTTTTTCTCCAATGTCCCTTGTGGGTTTCCATACTTTTCACTTCCTGTGAAATATAGCAGTTGGACCTTTAGCTATCAACACACTGTGCAACAAACTGCACACAAACAGTTTGTGTGTTTGCTGATGTTTTTTGAGCTGATAGAAACATTGAACATTTGAAATTACCTCCCACTTAAAAAAGTCACTCCCTTCATGCTTCCTCCTTCCTGTATTAGTGATTAAGCCTGGTGGTGGTTTTATAGTATATGGGATATTTGGGCTACTCAGTATCAACTGAGCATTGCTTAAATCTCACAGCCTACCTGAGTATTCCTGTCAATTATGTCCATCTTGTTATGACCACAGAGTACCCATTCACTGATCGCTGCCTCCAGCAGGATAGCGTGCCATGTCACAAAGCTCAGATCATTTCAAACTGGTTTCTTGAACATGAAAAGAAATTCACTGCAGTCAGATGACCTCCCCAGACACCAGATCTCAATCCAATAAAGACCCTTTTAAGCACTTTGAGGTCAGGGAGAGTAGAAAAGCGCTATATAGGAATGAGTCCATTTACCTTTGGGATGTGATAGAACAGGAGCCTCTCATTACGTATGTGCAACCAACAAATCTGCAAAACTGTGTGATGCTGTCATGACAACATGGACTAAAATCTGTTTCCAGCACCTTAATATATATGTATATAAATATATGACCTGGATGAGTGTGAACCTACACAAAGATATATCACTTTAAAAACAACAACAATAAAAACATATATTTTGCATCTTATTTTAAACAGCGTGACCAGATTGTTGTCATTTTTGTGAGCTGTATATTAGTAATACTTTCATGGGTTATATGTGGTTAAAACGACCCAAAGTTGGGCCAAATGTAAAAACTAGATCCACACGCAAAACCAACTCTTTTGTTTCTAGTCGCACAAAGAAGACAAACATTCCTGACAATCGGAAATAGAAATCGAAAGCTTCTCTGTGTGTGTCTGTGTGTGTGTGTCTTCAACTATCTGTTCTGGCATACCATTGTTTCCCACTCTTGTGAAGTCCCTGGAAACAATGTGGTTTGTTTCACAAGTTAACCATTAAACATACCCGCTTTTGTTTTGTAATTATATCTATCTGGTGTTAAGCAGACTGCAATGCTGAAGCCACTGCTTTTATATAGCTTGATTATATGGTTGTGGGGAATCGCACTTTTTTGTGCCTGGAGTGGTATGTTTTGGGGCTTTTTGGAATTAGCACAAGAGTTTATATAGACACTATAGAGAGAGATTAATCAAGAAAAAAGGTCAGTGCAGTTTAATGATCGGCCTGAACCTAATGAAACTTTAAATATCAGAACAATTTTCTGTCTGGTCTTATTTTGCCGTATTTCCTTGTCTGTTAAGGGCTATAACTGTAACTTTTTCCAGGCTGTAGTAAAAACGTATTTTCCTTTGATTTTGGGTCCGCACATTATGAATATTTTTCTTCCCCTAATACCTTTGAAAAGGCTGTTTAAACGGAGGATTTGCTTTCAACAATGCCTTCCAAAATCTATTAGAGCACACGGTGACATCCTGAAAGCCGATTCTGCTGAATGCACGGCGTTTCCTGGTCTCCCAACAAAATACTTTGCAGTCTAACTGTTCCCAGCCCTTTTGCACTGACTGGAAAGTGTTTGGATCGTTACTGTCTGTGACAAGACACAGACATGTTCTACTTCATCTACTCCTCTGTTCCCCGCTATAACTCTGCCAGCCCACCTGGCCTTATTCCCAGATGTTTGGTTTCCAGCAATTAGATGTTTGAATGCTCACACAGTGCCCCACA